ACAAAAGAAAAAAAAAATGAGAAAGTGAAAACACAAAACCTGGGCAAGAAAGAAGAAATTAACACATACAAAAAGAATTTTTAAAAGCCGACTTTCTTTTAACATTCAAATACTTGAAAAAAATAAAATTATCATAGTTACTTTTTTTTGGGGGGGGTACCAGGGGTCGAACTCAGGACCATGCACTTGCGAGACAAGGGTGGAACCACTGAGGTAAATCCCTGGCATAAAATAATTATTAATAACAGTAAGTTAATGCAGAACATGGGGGCACATAAATGTAATCCAAGTGGGAGGCTGAGGCAGGAGACTCGTTAGTTCAAAGGCAGCCTGGACAACTTAGCAATTTAGTGAGACTCCATCTCAAAATTTAAAATAATAATAATAATAATAATAATAATAATAATAATAATAATGAACTGAAAATGTAGCAACATGCAAAAGCCCTAAATTCAAGCAGCAAAACTACCAAAAGTAAAAACAAAAATAAAAAACAAAATAAAATGAGTACAATCAATATTGCAAAATAAATATGGATGACATAAAACCATACACCACAAGGAAAAATTCTGTTTAATCCAGAAAATAATTACTGGTAACCAAGGGAATCATATACCTTATTTAAAAAAAGAAGACACGAGGGCAAAAGTTTGAGTAGGTAGAGAACATTCATTTTTAATTGACCTCTGTTGATATTTCTGTATTATCCTTATGAATGGAAATAATTATCATTTGAAAAATTCTAGATCCTGTGATTTGGGGTTACACAGGTCTCATCTTCTATCAAGTCCACTCTGTATGAACTTTCTCCTCACAGATGTAAGTAAACACCAAGCATTTTAGGCATGGTAAGTGAAAGAAAATGGAATAAAATTAGTATGTCAACTATGTTGTAAAATAAGACTTCAAATACATGTTTTATAGAGCAAGGGCCCTGTGGAGGGAAAAATGCCTAGAGTTTACAAAAGTTGTAATATAGCCCCAGATTATGAGTCAAATCACACAAACCAAGGGCTATATATATATTTTAAAATATTTTAATTGGTATATTTTAGGTATACAACACAGTTACATTCATCATTGGGATCGTGTACCTTTGCATGATGTATCTTGGTTCTTATTTTTCCCTATTCCTCTAGCCTCCCTTCACCCACTCCACCCTTTCCTATTTACAAAATCTTTGTTTCCATTTTTTCCTTTTCTCTAATTTTTTTTCTTTTCCATGCTTACCTTTCTCCTACACCTCCCACTTCCCCAACACTTTAGATCTTTTCTTCCTAGGACACAGTATCAGTTATACATTTTGATTCTTATTTACACTTTCAGTTCATCACACTAGAGGAACTATTCAGTATTTTTATATGTGTCTTCTTAAGTTCACTTAATAGTATGGCCTCAATGTGCATCTACTTAGCTATAATTGTCTCTGATTTCTCATCTTTATGGCTGAGTAGTACTCTTATTACCAGATGAAGAGAACTTTCCTACCCTTTTGGTGGAGCAGAAGTTGAACCCTTTGTTCCCTTGAAACCCTAAGGAAATCAGAAAGGTCAGTCTCGAGCTTGAGATCTTATTGCTGATGTTTCTTGCCACTCAGAAAGCCTTCCTAGGTAGTTTTCTGGTTGGCCAAAACCACAAGACGTTACACTCAAAACAGGATAAACAGTGAGAAATTGATTCCTTCTGCAGTGAAGAGTAAGCAATGTCGAATATGCAAAGATCACATGGCTCAGGTTCCCATGAAATATCTCAGTTCTCGTAATTTTTGGTATAAAGTTTCAGTAAGGTAACAATATCTCTATGCCACTTTTACTCTGTAATGTAAGAAGGGGATTCTATGATGCATTTGTAGCAGGATCATGATTATATTTACTTGGCAACCCCCAAATCCAAACAGGCTTATCCTTCAATGTAATCACCACCCACTAATGTGTGCAGAACAGAAACTTCTGGCATGGTATCTGAACCTCATCTTTCATTTCATATATGATTGTCCATCAGTAAGCTCTGCTTGTCTAGACCACCACTGGTCTCCCTTCTACACTACCTTATTTGTATTCAGATACTTCCCTCTTTGTTGACATTTTCATCTTGTCATCTGTATACCACGTGAGATCCAGATTGTCTTATAAAATGGAAATAAACTCATAACATCACCAGTGATTCCGATCAAAAGAACACTTTCTCTCTCTGCCTCTCTTTCTGATTTAGTTCTGCACATTTCTACATAAAGTGTTTGTTAAGACTTATTTAAAATGCAGTTTCATTTTAGACTAGCTTTAAATTTATAGAAAAGTGAAAGTATGGAACACAGTTCCTATATATTCTCTACCCAGCTCCTGTATTACTGATATTTTTTCATGTAACGTTCATCTTAATTAATGAACCACTATTGATATATTATTGGTGAATAATTTTGTCACTAGGACATAATACCCAACATTCAAAATTGAAAGGAGAGGTTTATTTTGGCTCATAACTCTATAAGTTGGCAAGTTCCAACACAGAAACCCCATGGAGAAGGCCCTGGATGGAGGAGAGCTACTCCTGTGATTGTGGCCTGAAAGAAAGAGCTGTGGAAGGAGAGACACCTCCTGTGAGCCGGGCTCCTCTGGTCAACACCCCCAACAGCATATGGAGGTGTTGAAGTCATCAATGGGTGCATCCCGTGAGAGCACAGCACTCCAGCGCTGTAACCACCTTGCAAAAGCCCTACCTCTGAGTGACAGTTTTGAGAGCTGTTCCAAACCCAAACCACAGTGAAAGCCCATACATTATTTAGATGACTTCAGTGTTTTACTTAGTGTCCTTTTCCTGCCGCAGGATGTCATGCCACGTTGCATTTCATTATGTATCTTTAGGCATCTCCCAGTGTGAAGGTTTCACAGTCTCTTCTTGCTTAAACGACCTTGAATGCTTTCAGGATTATTGGTCAAGCATATTGCTTAAACTCCTCGATTTGGATTTGTCTGATTTGTGTAGAGGTAACAATATTTATTCTATATTTTAGGTCATAATTCAGTCATTTTAATTATTGCTCATATGGTTCCATGCTTGACTATTGAGGGTCCCTTCAGTTGAGACCTGTCTTCTTTTTATAAACTGGTTTGCTGTTTTATTGTTATCATTGTTTTAGCATTCACTTTTGGCACAAAATGCACTGGGAATATCATACCCATTAACAACTGCCATCCTAGAAGCAGCCAATTCTTCAAGGGAGCGTAATGGTGACTCTCAGTATGAGGCTGAAGGCTGAGAACGTGGGTGAGGATGGGACGCTGATCCAATCCCGGGGTCCAAAGGCTGGTCAGTCTGCAGCTCACCTACCCAAAGACAGCTCCAGAAAGACAGAGAAAAGTGGCCTTTCCACTGTCTTTTTGTTGTCCTTGTTGCTTTATCTGTACTCTCAGCTGGTTGGATGGTTCCTATGTCCTGTAAAGTGAAAGCGGATATACTCATGCCCCATTCGATGATTAACATGCCAGTCTGTTCCAGAAACACCCTCAGAGACAGACTCAGGAATAATGCTTCAAAGATATCTGGATATCCTTCAGTCCAGTCAAGAAGATAAAGGGAACCCATGATCTTCCGTTTTGAATTCTGCAGTCCAGGCTCTCTGTTTACCTGGCCCTCAAGGTTATAGAAGGTATATTTAGGGACTTCTAAGCCTTCATAATCTTGTGAATCTATCCCCTTAGTAAATCCTTACCTATCTATCTATGTATCTATTATCTATGTATCTATGTATGTATCTATCTATCTATCTATCTATCTATCATCTAACTATTGGTTCTGCTTCTCTGAAGAAGCTGATAAACACAAATTCATATACTTTTGGGATTATAATGTCTTTGGAAAATTGACATTGTTTAGCTCCAGACTATCCTGCAGGAAAGTCATCTTTGTCTGAAATAAGTATAGCCACATATGCTTTTTTTATTAGTATTAACATGATATATCTTTCTCCATCCTTTCCTTTTAGTTTTTCTGGGCCTTTATATTTAAAGTAGGTTTGGGTTTTTGTTTTTCTTTTTTTTTCTGGTGGTGCTGAGAATCAACATGGTGGCCTAGTGTTTTATCCCTGACCTGGACCTGCATCCTTTAAAGTTAGTTCTTAAGGACAACACGTAATTGAATCTTGGTGATCTAGCCAAAGCTGCAAATATATTTCTTTTGTTGGTGTTTCTGGACCATTCATATTAAAAATGATTACTCAGATATTTGGATTTATCTCTAACATGTTTATAAGTCTACTTTTCAATATGTTTGTTCAGCTTTTCCTACTCATTTTTTTGCCTTCTTCAGTTTTGATGAACATTTTCCTTAAGTCTTTAATTTCTTCTTGCCTACCACTGATACTTCGTAGAATGTTTAAATCATACTTTAGTGATAGATATAGATATAGATGTAGATATATCTCCGCCTTCAAAGAGAGTACACCCAACCACTTCACATGTATTGTTGGCACCATACAAGAGTATTTCCATTTCTTTCCTTTCATGCTTTGTGATCCTGATTTTATCCATTTCACTTAACTGTGTGCAATACCTTGTTAAGTAGTCATCAACAATAAGATTAACACAGATGTATTATTTTGTCTTCATGTAATTCTTCTCTTGGACTCTACATTTTTTTTGAAGATCCAGATAACTGCTCCAACTTATTTTTCTTTCTGCCTAAAGAATTTTTAACATTTTTCCAGGTGCTTATTTCTCTTTTATTTTGCCATTATCTTTGGACACATTTATTTTGATCTGCTCTCTTTTGCCTTTTCATCTAGTATTCAAATTACACAGTTAATGTATAATATTTTCATGTTTTTTTTAGAGTGTTTGGAATGTTTCATTCTGGTATGTCATTGCTTTAACTCTGTGAAAGCCTAGATAATCACTTCTTCATAAATAATCACAGGAAGATTATATGTGGTAGTTCTTTATATTTGATCAATATCAATACAAATTATTTAGATAATCTATATACTTGAAATAAAATCATTTAACTAGTACACAGATTAAAAACATTAGGGAAACATTGCATTAATTAAAAGTGTATGTTTTTCTTATTTTGCAATTTAACTTTGATATAAAATCTTGGATTTCAAAAACCTAAATCAGCCTGATGTCGTGGTGCACACCTGTAATCCCAGCACTCAGGAGGCTGAGGCAGGAGGATCGCTGCAAGTTCGAGACCAGCCTGGGCTGCACAGTGAGTTCGAGCAGCCTGATGTTCTTTATATTTGATCAATATCAATACAAATTATTTAGATAATCTATATACTTGAAATAAAATCATTTAACTAGTACACAGATTAAAAACATTAGGGAAACATTGCATTAATTAAAAGTGTATGTTTTTCTTATTTTGCAATTTAACTTTGATATAAAATCTTGGATTTCAAAAACCTAAATCAGCCTGATGTCGTGGTGCACACCTGTAATCCCAGCACTCAGGAGGCTGAGGCAGGAGGATCGCTGCAAGTTCGAGACCAGCCTGGGCTGCACAGTGAGTTCTTGAGCAGCCTGAATTACATAGTGAGACCCTGTCTCAACCCCCCTTCCAAAATAGCTAAGGCAAATGTTGTGGCAGAGCATCACAAGTCCGGGCCCAGCCTGAGCAATTTAGTGACTCTTAAATCCCCATCTCAAAATAGAAAACTAAAAAGGACCTGAGGATGTAGGTTAGTGCGAAGGGCCTGGGTTCAATCCCTAGCACTGGGGGAAAAAAGACTACATTTTGTAAAACAAGTTCTATTACTTCAGGAATTATGGGCAAATGGGAATGGACCAAACTCATTATTTCAAACCATGTTATCTGGTACATTTATTGTGGACAGTGCCAGAATAATTTTCCTTTTCCCATCCCATCTACCCCTGCCTCACTTTCCTCCCATTTTTCAGTATCACTTCTCTTGACCTAGTTGAACATCTACAGTTAGGTATTTTTTTTGTAATGTTAAGTAGGGTTTGTTTTTATGAAATAGCTTTATTTTTCTTCATGAAAACATTAGACATCATTAATAATAATAAAAGACTAAAAATTTAAAATATCCTTAAGTTTGATTATGCATACAAACATTTTTATATTTACATGGATGTCTATGTATATGTGCATTCATACTGATGGATATAGGTTCATACCATATATATTAGTATGTGAATATATTCACATATAGTCATGGATTTTACGTATATATACACTATATATTCATGACATAGGTATTACGAAAAGGAAGCATTTGTGCACTGGATTCTTTACTGAAAAATATTATGAGCATTTTCCTGTGACTATCATTATAGACCCTAGATTGCCATTTCTAAGGGCTTCATAGTATAAGTGGATAACATAATATTTTTCATGGTGGATATTCAGTTTTTACTTAATCATTTTTTACTAAATTCTGTAGTAAAATCTGGTATAATCTTTAAATATTATGAAGATATGAAATAATTCTAAGTCTCATAAGTTTGCGGTAAGGGAAAAATCATACATATGTAGAACATGAAAGTACTAAAATATTGACTACAGAATTTAGTAAAAAATGATTAAGTAAAAACTGAATATCCACCATGAAAAATGTTATGGTACCAATATTATTAAAAATAGTTGGGCCAGGGATTTAGCTCAGTGGTTCTGCTCCCTGCCTCACAGCTCAAAGACCTGAGTTCGATCCCCGGTGCCAAAAAAGCAAAAATGAAAAAAACAAAAACAAAACAAAACAAAAAAAAAGTTACAGGTTATTCAGTTTTAATTGTAGTATATATTTTATGTGAGTATATACTTATTAGAAATTGTTGAATTTAAAATTTTCAACCTAATTCAACATAGAAGATAATTTTGTAGAAAATACTAAACAATTTCTTGATATAATATCGATATATATGTAGTATCTAGATATATAAGTATATAATATAAAATCTTTAAATATGGCCTTAGAATTACACATCTACAATAATTGCAATTATTTTGTCTCTTTCATTTTAATAATAGAAAAATAAATTTATTCTCACATGAAACCACTATTTAAATAGTAGAAAATTCAACTACATTTATGCAAGTGACACATACTTTGCCATGTATTAGTGACTATCTTGAGGACCTCTCAACTACCAATGACATAGAACAGTGTGATTTGGGGGTTGTGGCTGTGAGTGGTCACTAGGCTGAAACTTGAGTTCCATCACTTTCCACCTCACATATGGACAGTAAAGCAATTCAGTGTTGGATCTCAATAAAATTATGCATTACTAACTCTCATAGATCTTTGGGATTAATGTATCATCTTTAAATATGGTCTTAGAAGGCCACATGTACAATGCCTACAATTCTTTTGGAAATGGAAAAATAAATATATTTTCTCATCAAACCATCATTTAAATATTGGAAAATCTGACTATAGCTTTATTCTTGAGTAATTATTTCCTTGAAGCAATGAATGTGATTCTCAAATACTTTTTTTAAAAAAAAAGCTGTGTTTGAGAAGTATGCTTGAAGAATCATAATAGCCAAAATTAGAGTACTAAAAATATCTAATTATAAAAACATTTTTCTGACATTTTAGACCTTTAATAAGAAATATCTTTTCTAATTTAATTTCTTTGTAAAAGCATCAACATCTTGAATCATACAAACAGGACTACATTTCATAAAGGTTACATTTATTTTCACATCCGGAGACGAATTAAATCAATAGCTATGTTTGAAAGAACAAAAGTTGGATAGTATATTCCACTGGGTGAAGAAAAAGAAGATACCGCAAGGTAAAAGTGGATGTTAACACACTAATGATCATTTTTTAATAACAGAAGGACCTTTCGGTGCAAAAATACCAATATATTCTTTTCACTGCTGTCTTCTCTTTCAGCCAACCTTTGAATGAGAGAAACTTCTGCTGATGTCAAATGACCACAAGGATATTAACAACTGGACTCCGAGCCTGTCGGCCGCTGTTGGCTATGTCTCCTTTACCAAGCCAGCTTTCTTCACTACTGCCACTGACCTTGCAAACAGCTCCGACAAAGGTCGGAATGGATTCATTGATCAGCTAGACCAAGCATATGACAGTCTGTGCCTTAATTGAATCCCAAAAGGGGGCAGACTGGGTTTTTATTACAGAGGCCAGCCGATAGCACTCATTAAAAGCTCCACAGACTGTGTGGTTTACTAATTAGTTTATTATACAGACACCTTGACGATGGGCAGAGTTGTCATTTTGCCCTTTATCGCACAGGGGATGTTGTTAAAAGTTTAATCAGCTAACACTGACCAAGTTAGCTTGGCAGGCTCTGGATGGTCATTATGGAGGTCACTCCTGCTGTAGCAGTTCTGACAGGGTCACAGCATGAACTTACAATAAAGAGAGTGTTACATAAGGTAAAAACTCACCTGAAAGGGACCCCAGAAAAGAGATGTGCTCTGTGGGGAGTACGAAACAGATGGGCTGTTAGGACAAGTGAATCCTTTAAAGTTTATCTTTGCCTGCCCTGTTTAACATATGCTTTCTTAAAAGATGGGGCATATAACAACCATTTTGATGTGTTCATCAAAAATAGGATCAGTAACAAGTTTTTTTATATATGTGCATTTTGGGGTTAGGGCCAAAAGTAGCGTCATCTGATGAAAATGACTTCACCATGCTATATTTAAACTTTATAGAGTTTTAAATGAGTATCCTGGTATAGGCTATTATTATAATTTTTTTATTAGTACTCAAAATGTTATTTAGCTTACTGATCATTCCTACAAGGAAACTAAATTTCCAACTTTGTAAAGTATATGTTTATATATTTTAATAATGGATTTTAACTGCATGGGTGATTTATTGAGATTTACATGACAAGTTTAGAAAGATCTGTGCAATTTTTTTTTATATTTTGTCTTCGAATATTCAAGTCTCTAAAGATCTCCATAAACCTGAAATTTAGACCCAGTTCCTACAATATATCAATCCTGTTGATCTAGACCTGATCCTTTGAAATGGATGCTTTTACTGAACTTACATTACTTTCTTTTCTTTTCTTTTCTTTTTTCTTTTTTTTGGTACCGGGGATCGAACTTGGGTCCTTGTGCTTGTAAGGCAGGCTGCGGAACCACTGAGCTAAATCCCCAGCCCTAATCTTACATTACTTTCAACATCAGTTATCATACCTGCAAAATTATCTGAAGGCTTTGTGATGATAAATCCATGTGGGTTAAGCAGGAATAGAATGTCTTCAAAGTACACATTTATTTTAGATACAACAAACTTTTATTTTGACTGTGTCATGAAAAATAATACACAATACTGAAAGCCATCTACGGTGGAGGTTAAAATATAATGTGATAGATGTGTGATCACATTGACGGTTTTATGGAAAGAGACGAAATATTCTATGCTGCATTGAAACTACAGAAGAAATTTTAGTAAGCAGTGTGTATTATCCGAATTGGAGTTGATCCAGAAGTCTCGGTCTAACTTTGAGACTAACTGCGGGGTTTGTCAAAAGGAGGCCACTTCAGGAAGTGTGAACTCTTGAAGAGCACATTTCTCAGTAGTTCCAACAAAGTTTCCCATGGAGACAGATCACTCCGTGTAGCCCACAGAAGCAAATATTTTATTATTATCTCCCTATGGAAAGAAAAAGAAACTTTCCTTTTTTATTAATTAAGTTCACTGATACATTATGATTGCATGCATCATTGGGCCTTTGTACCAGAACATGATATATCTTGGTTCTTGTTTTTTCCAATTCCCCTTCTCTCCCTTTCACCACTCCACTCCTCCCTATTTAAAAATGCTGTTTCCTCTATTCTTTCTTTCTCATTTTTTCTTTTTTTCATGTCTTTCTTTTCCCTGACCCCCTTCCCTAGTTTCCCTTTCCTTTTTAAACTTTTCATCCTATTTCACAGTGTCAGTGATACATTTTGATGCCAATTTAACTTTCAATTTCTCACACCAGAGAAACTATTTAGTATTTATACACGTGTCCTATTTATTTCACTTATGAGTATGGCCTCAAGGTGCATCCATTTAGCAATCCATGTCTCTAGTTTATCATTTTTTATGGCTGAGTAGTACTGCATTTTATAAATAAAAACCACGTCTTTATCAAGTCACCAGTTGATGTGCATCTGGGCTGTTTCCAAGATTTAGCTATTACCAACTGTGCTGCTATAAACATAGGCATTCATATATTACTGTGGTATGATGCTTTTAATTCTTTGGGGAAGATACTTGGCAGGCTGATAGCTGGGTCAAATGGGACCTCTAATCCTAGTTTTTTGATGAATCTCCACACTGATTTCCACAGTAGGTGCACCAGTCTACACTCCTACCAACAGTGATGAAGGGTTCCTTTTTCCCCACAATCCTGCTAGCATTTGTTATTGGTTCATTTCTTGATAGCAGCCATTCTTTCTGGAGTGAGGTGAAATCTCAGTATTGTTTTCATTTGCATCTCTCAAATGACCAGTGATTTTTGAACATTTTTTTCAAATGTTTATTTGCTACTTCTACTTCTTCATCGGAGAAATGTCTCTTCATTTCAGATGTCCACTTCTGGACTGGAAAAACAAATATAGTGAAAATGGACATACTTCCAGAACTGTTATAGATTCAGTATAATCCTGATTGAAATACCAACAATGTATTTCACAGAATTAGAGAAAACAATCCAAAAACTTATTTGGAACTAGAAGATACCTATAACAGCAAAAGCAATTCTAGGCAACAAAGACGAGGGAGGGGGTATCACATCCCCTAGTTTGAAACTATACTACAAAGCTACTGTAATAAAAATAGCATGGTGTTGGCAAAGAAACAGACCCAAGGATCAATGGAACAGATTAGAAAATGCAGAAACAACTCCACACATACTCAGCCATCTCATCTTTAACAAAGGAGCCAAACACCTTTATTGGAAGAAAGATAGGCTCTATAATAAATGGTGCTAGAAAAACTGGGATTCAACCGTGCCAAAAATTAAAAATTGCCACATTTCACACCGTGCAAGAAACTAAAATCAAAGTGGATCAAAGATATAAATACTAAAACAGAGACATTAAACCTTCTGGAAGATAGGTTAGATAGAACTCTGGAAGACATTGGTGTAGAAAAAGACTTTATGAACAAAAGCTCAGTCACATGGGAACTAGCACCAAGAATCAACAACTGGAATCTCATTTTATTAAAAAGCTTTGAAACAGAAAGAGAAACCACCAAAAGAATGAGGGGACAACCCATGAAATGGGAAAGAAAATTTACCAGCTGTTCCTCAGACAAAGGTCTACTAGCTAAAATATACAAAGAACTTCAAAAATGAGACCCTACCTAAATTAAAGAATCAATCCAAAAATAAACTTTTAAACAGTTAAATTAAGGGAACTGCTACTCTATATATTTCCCCCAGGCCATGAAATAAGCTACAAAAAAATTTAGTAAATTACCTAAAATTTCATCAAGAGCATCATATTACTTCAAATATTTCTACTATTATTGACAACATTAATACTTTGAATAAATGAAATATGAAAGCTTTGTTACATTACAAAAGATAACCAAAAAAAATAAAAAATAAAATTATAGACTGTGAAGTTTTTTGCAATCCACAAAGTTTACATGACTGAAAAAATTTATATACGACTGAAAAAATTTTAGACTACACAAAACAGAAAAAGACAAAAACCACAACTTCAGGAAGTTGTTTCAAAAGTTTTTAAAATATAAGTCAGCCTAAAATGAATAAAAACATAAAAGGAAATATACAAGCCAAATAAAAATGGGAAGTACATCAAGAAATACAAGTGCCAGCAGAATTAGTTAAAGAAGATGCTTAATTATTTTTCCAAAAAGAGAAAATAGGAGAGCAAATTATTTGAAGTAATAATGGATGTTAAAGGAACAACAATAAGACTTACTGTTTAAAAATATATCCTCAATATGTATCCATTTTCCTATGAATGACTCTAATTTCTCATTCTTTGTGGCTGAGTAGTGTTCCATTTCATAGAAAACCATATCTTCTTTATCCAGTTTCCAACTGATGGGAAAATGGGCTGTTTCCAAGTTTTAGATATTACAAACTGTGCCTCTATAAACATAGGTGTGCATATATCACTGTGATATGATTCTTTTGATTCTTTTGAAAAGATACACTCCTAATTGAAATAAATAAGTCACACATGTGAATCCTGACTCGTTTCTCTGGTGTGAAAAACTATAATGGTACATAAGATCCTAATGATATAATTGACAATGTGAAATAGGAAGAAAATGGCTAAAGGTGTAGGGGAAAATGGGAAGAGTGGGAGAAAAGTAATAAGGGAAAAGAAAAAAAACATGAGTAAAATAAAAAATGGAAATAAAATGCTTGTAAAAGGGGAGTAGAGGAGCGGGTGAAGAGAGGGCAGGGATAAGGGGAAAAAATGAGAACCAAGACCTGTCATGTAAAGGTACAATGATGAATGTAACTGTAATGTATGCCTAAAATGTACCAATAAACTCAATGAGAAAAATAAATAAAAAATATATTACTAAGAAAGCACAGAAAAAAAATTTATCCATTATGATTTTTAAAAGTTGTTATGACAGTGAAACACATTCTGGACATGAGAAAGTTTTGAAGTTTCAGCTCTTTTAGTAATGCCAATGTAATATAGTTTATTTTTTTAGCTGTTTTTCTCCCACATAACTGATATGCAACTGATGTAACAGCAGAAAATTTTGTCTCTTGTTCACTACTATTCCTTGTTTATGTAAGTTTATGACATAAAACATACCTTTAATATTTCAATAATGAATTTAAAACAAAGGGTAATATCAAAGAAGAGAAAATACAATGGTGAATCTAGAATTCTAAACCTATTTAGAGTATCATTTTCATAAAACACTATAATGATATTTTTAGATAAAGATAGAATTTTACTCATATTTTCATTTTCAGACAATTTTTGTGAAAAAATCTGTAGCAAGCATTATAAACAGCAAGTTGGTTTGTTTGGAAAATAGGTAAATCTAAGGCATAGACCTATAAGCACATATTGGCATTTGGTTTTAAAAAACAAGCTAGGACAGAAATAGGACACAAGTGCCAGCTTGAAGCTCTTGCCACTGGCCAAACTGAAGGCAATTAAAGCATCAATATAAATGATATTATTGATTTATAAGTCATTGAAAAAACATGAGTTTGTGCTGAAATAAATAAATGAAGAAGTGAGATTTTTTTGATACAAGATTTAAGACCAAAATCTAACCATGTTTTAGCAATTAATGTTAACATAAGCTATATTACATATTTTTTTTATTTTAACCAACATAGATTAAAATAGAAAAGTAATACATACCATATGTTCAAGAAGGATTTGATAAAATTTGCCATTCATTTCTAATTAGAAATAATTCTTAAAATGAAAATATGAATTGTTATCTCACTTAAAACTCCTCAGCCTTTTCCTAACTGGTCTCCTATCCTTGAATCCTCACCCTGTCTCTCCTGTCAGTTTGTTTATTTCATGGAAACAAAGCATTATTCATTCAAAATGTAAATTAATTCAACCTTGGCTCTTCTTAATCTCTCGTGGATTCTCACTAATTTAAAATAAAGCAAAATTGTAA